TTTTAATACAGCTCCTAGAAGGCAGTAGCATCTGCACTTATGTCGACTTAAATGTCTTCCTCACCTTCCTCCTCTTTTTAGTACTTGGCTAGATAACTGGTTTTCAAGGCACTCGACCTCACTTGAACCTTGGCTCCTCAGCGCCTGGGACGAATCCTACCGTGGATGTCACAGGGAGGACACTGAGCCTCTTCACCCTGGGCACGCTGTGGCTGGGGTATGGTCACCTGCGTGGCCCTGGGGACAACGTTACAGGGAACAGTGCAGCAGCGCTGCTGTTTGCAAGGCTGCAAACCCAGATGGAAAAATCCCCGGGACAGATCCCGATGGTTTGATTGTGCTGAATCCCACAACCACGCGCATCCTCTGCGCAGAGCATTTCCAGGTGGATGTTTCCATGGTGACTCGCCTCTTGCTATTGGGAGAGGAGGCTGAGGCTGGAGCTGGGAAAAGCAGAGCTGCTGTGTTAACAACCCTGTGTGATGCTGGCGGCAGAACGTCCCGGGGGCTTGCGCAGCCTGTTCTGATCAAAGCCTTCTGTATGGCACCAATAGGTGTGGGAAGGTGCGCTACGGAGACCTGGTCTCCAGTGCAGAGCCACTGGAGAACACAGCACACAGAATCATAGAATCATAGAACGGTTTGGGTTGGAAGGGACCTTAAAGATCATCTCGTCCCCCCCCCCCTGCCATGGGCAGGGACACCTCCCACCAGCCCAGGTTGCTCCAAGCCCCGTCCAACCTGGCCTTGAACACCTCCAGGGATGGGGCAGCCACAGCTTCTCTGAGCAAGCTGGGCCAGGGGCTCTCCACCCTCACAGGAAAGAATTTCTTCCTCATATCTAATCTAAATATCCAACCTAAACATGGACAGATGCTCCAGAGGACAGACGTGATTCAGCTCTTCAACAGAACAAGCAGAAAGCTTGAGGGACATTAGAAAACCAGAGGCATCCCTGCGGCCTGATCACAGCTCTGCAGAGCTCCTTGTCCTCAGTTCCTAGCTCCCAGTGCTGATGGCCTTCCCAAGGTGGTCAGACACCATGGCAGGGGGAAAATAGAGCAGAGTGTGGAGGGATTTGTAAGAGAAAGCAGCGGTCTGGTATCTGCATCTTCGGGAAATAATGCACCTCATGATGAGCTTATCTGGTCTGTGTGTCCTGTCTGGTGTTTCCATACAGAAATGGTATGGTCCAGGAAACTAAACCTGTGCTTCTGTCCTGTTTCTCATCCTTTCATGCCAGTCCTGATCACCAGCGTCCTAATCCAACAGGGAACATCAAGTTCCCTTGGGTTTCCTGGAAAATCCTGACTATAACCCCTAAAGATGGGTCATGGACCAGCATTTCATCTCTGGAGATCCAGTGCTATGGACAGGAGCCCCTGGTAAGCATTTCCTACATAATTAGCTCCCCTGGGGAATGTGACAACCACTGTTTGCCTGCAAGGGCTCTGCAGCCAAAGCACAGTGGTGAAATCACAGAGCAAAGACATCCTACGACTTGAAGGCCAGAAGAAGGCCAGAATGGTCCACCACACTGCCAAGAGCTTACAGGAGGTGCACACAGAGCTTGGACCATGTGTGCTGTGGACTGAAAGATTTCTTCCTGAGACAATACTGCAGGGAATCCTCTCTGTCCCCTGCACAAACCAGCTCGTGCTGTAGGGCACCTTCCCTCGGGGAAGACCATACTGGTCCTTTGAAAACCAAGGCCAGCAATGAGGAGCAGGACAGACAAGGAGGTCTGTCCTGGAGGTGGAGCAGGCACCTGGCCCCACTATTCCTCCAGATATTATTTTTTAAAGCCTGGGTTCTTAATCTGAATCCAAGTGTAGGGGGAGGTTGGGGAAGAGCAGGGGACCGTCCTGTCCAAGTTCATTTTCTCCCAAACCTCTCCCCGTTCTGGAGAAATTAGTGTTGGCCTCCATGAAATATGTGTCAAGTAGGTCAGTCCTGAAGCTGAGCCGACCCCAACTCCGGGCACCGCACGGGAATGGGAACCTGGGCTCTGCAGTGAAAGACACCTGTGGTAGTGTCCCAGCCGGCGGGCTCTGTCCCTCCGTGCCTCTCCTCCTCTCTCACACAGCGCCGTATGATGCCGTGATGGCCAACCTCCCAGCAGGCAGGAGAGGCAGTCCATGGAGAGATCAGCTGCAGCCAGGGAGCTGAGGCTCCATGCTGGCTGCTGGAGCAACTAGTTTGGATCTGAAAGGGCTCCTGGGTGGCACAGCTAAGCCACGCTGGTCAATCTATCTGCTCATCTCCTCCTTGGCTGAGATGCTCTGGGGACATGGCAGTGGCAAGTGGACATACAGGCCAAGCTAAGATGCTCTGGACTGATCTCCTATGGGAAGGGGTGAAGCTATCACCGCCAAGTAAGCAGCCAACTGTCCTAATGTGAACATCAACCAGGACAAGCCCCATGGTCCTGCAGGAGGACCCACCATGGGTCCAAATTCAGCACAAGACGCATGTGAAGGTATGTGCAGGACGGTGCTGGACATGAAGCGTGCTGCTGCTGAGGGGGCCGGCAGAGGTGGGGAGGTGGCCCCTCTGCTGCACAGTCTCGCACCCTGAACATCCTCCTTCCTGATGCACTGGAAGGATTCCTGCTCCCTCTGCAACGCTTCCAGCTCTCCAGAGCCTCGGAGCAAGAGCTGGGGGCTTTATTATCCTCCTCCCCCACCCCAGCCTGCCCCAGCCGCGGGCAGGGGACACACACGTCCTCTCGGGAGGCAGCTGCTCCAGGCACAATGCTGCTTTCATGTCTCCTTCTGTTCCCCTGACCCGTCGAGCGCGGCCAGCCCAGCTCGTGCCCAGCTGGAGCTGCAGGTGCTGCCTTTGTCCCGAGGATTCTTTGGAGGAGGCAAAGGGGGAAACTGCCCCACGTGGCGATGATCCGGGCAGCCCCTTCCCCTGGGTGACAGAGCAGGTGGGGACGGTGGCAGTGCTGGGGAAGGGGGGGGTCAGGGACAGGCTGCAGGGATGGTGGCGAACGCTCACCTCGGTGGCCTGGTGTGGTCGGGGGACCCTGTGCGTGCTCAATGAGGACAGCAGGGATGTACCCAAAAGGATCGAGACTCTCCTGCACCCTCTGTCCCATCTGCAGCTTGCAAAAGCAGGCAAGACCCTCTCTGTCCCCGTCGCCAAGCCAGAGGGGAAGGATGTGTGTCCACCCGGGCTGAGTGCCTCGGCTGTGTGTCCCAGCCTGATGATGCCAAAGCCCCGAGAAGCAATTCTCAGCGTGCAGGACTCTAGCCGGCACTCGGGTGCGTCGGGGCTGCACGACTCTCCCCCCACAAGGCTATGGCCAAGGGCAGCCCAGCTGCATTTATTACCCACCTCCCCGCCTCCCGCCCCTGCAAAAATAAAGGGAAAATCAAATCATTTCAGGCTAAAAATCTGACCAACACTGCGCAGGCTGCAGTGGGAGCCGCTTCTGGATTTTAAACACCAGCTGCTGTGATGCTGCTGATAACTGGACGCGGGCTCGTCTCATGTGCCACGTCTGCCAGAGCACGCAGCGCCACGGAGCCCTTGTGCAGCTCCCTTCCCACGGCGCGTGAGGAGCCGCGAGAGCTCCGTCCGTCAGGGAGGGAGGGTCGAGGGCGGATTTTAACAGAGTCCAGTCTGAAACCCAGCGGCTGTTTCTTCTTTTAAGGGCCGGGCCTGCCTGATGACAAAGCCCGGCTGATGACAAGGGTGCATGGGGGTGGGATGTACGTGCTGGAGGGACAGAAGATAAGAGCAAACCGTGGGATGCAGTTCCCTTCCTCCGGCCAAAAAGTGAAAGGCCTCTGTGGGTTGCGCTGAGCAGGGAAATTGCTCTGTGCTGCCCGGTTTTGTGAGAGTTTAACCAACCATGCCCTGAAGGGGAAGAGGGAACGAGAACCTTTCCGGGCCTAGAGGACAGGTTGGCAGCACGGCATGCCCGTTTGGGGATGGGCTTTACACCGAGCACCGAGGCTGGGCTTGGACCCACGAAGCTGCTATTGTCCACCTCCCGATGGAAACGCTCACGAGCCCTTGTGGTATGGTGCCCATCATCTGCAGGCAGACTGGAGCCTGGTGGCCTCCTCCCTCATTTTAGGCAGGTCCAGGAATCCCTTTGGGAGCCTCACGGGTGGCCCAAAACAAGACCAGGAGGGATGCAAGTGGAGCCAGAGAAGAGATAAAAAGGTTTCTAGCCCAAACACTGGAATGTCCTCGGAAGAGGGACCCTGGAAACACAAAGTGATGGTGTGAAACACCTCAGCTGGCCCGTATCAGTGATGGCCAGGGTGCAGCAACCTTGTCAGATACTGGGCGCTGCTATACCTGCTCCACTGCTCTTTAGAGATTTAGCCCTTTGCTTCCCTTCTCAGCCCCAAACCAGCTGAAAAGGCACAGAGTAGTGACTGCAGGAAGGACACAAGCCAGGAGCCTGTTTCCACAGCTGAGCTCAATGCTCATATTGAGAGCTGAACCTCCGTTCCTTCAATGCCAACAATTCACCTCTCAGCGAAAGCTGAAGTCATGAGGTGCTCAACAAGCACAGAACAGAAAACAGAGCATTTCCTGCTCCTGCCTGATGACAAAAGTGGCACCTCATGATACCAAGTGCTCCAGAACTTCATCTGAAGCCAACAGAAATTACAGGCACTCAGCATCCTGCAGGATCACGCTAGTAGCTTGGGAGCAACGTGGGGCATGAACAAGGTCTCTTTCCAGCCTGTGGATGCTGTACACAGGGCTCTGCTGAGCTAATGACGAGTAATTGTCCCAGTAATGGAGTAATTCAGTGGGAACCACCACCTGGAGGACGCAGCACTTTGCTCAGCGCCTGTCACACTGGGAGCGGGCTGGACATCCGCAGCAAAATGGAGTTCAGCTTTCCAGTGACCTCCCCGTTCCTCACGCAGCACTTCACCCCAACAAATAGCATCACAGTCCTCGTCCCCATCTGGTGCCAACCCTGTGGAAAGCTCTCTGACCGCCCGACCTGGTGCGTAGGGGCTCACCTTCAGCTTGTGCTCGTGCTCCTTGTTGACCCGGGACAGCAGCTGGGCTTTCCTCCTGTTGAGGGCATCGATGAGGGCGTCACACTGGGCCACCAGGCAGGCCTCGAACTCCACGCTGTTCTCCTGCGGGTCAGAGCAGAGCATCACAGCCCTCGGCACGCCTCCATTTCAGTTGGGAAACCTGATTATTTTTTTTTTTTTTATGATACCGCACAGACCATTTTTATATGTGCAGCTACACCACTGCAACACAAAAATCCATACCATTAGCACATGGGGTGTTTACACCTTTGGCTCATGGCAAATGTGGTGGTGGCAGGTGAGGAACAGGTTTGGTCCATCCTACCACATCCTTGGAACTGCCTATGCCAGAGACGGCAAGGGCTGGGGTCTCTGCTGCTCGCTCCGTGACACCGGCAGCTTTGGGAGGGGCAGTTTTTGGGAGGGCTGCAGGGGCGTAATATGAAAAGTCAGGCGTGGGCCCCTTTGGGAGAGCACCCACCAAACCGAGGTGGGGAGATGGGACAGAAGGTGGCAGAGCAGCTCGTCCTGGTGGGAAGGGGCCGTTTCTCGGCCAGGAGACGCAGTACCTGGATTTGCTGCACCATGTTGCGGAGTTGGACCAGGAACTCTTTTGCTTCCTTGGCTCTGTCTGACAACCCGTTCAGGGCCTGGGAAAGCTGGCTCTGCAGGGGGGGAAGAAAGAACAAGGTCATTCCCATGTTCTGGACTCATCCTTGTGCTGGAGAAGCTGATGTGTGTACAATTTGGGCTGGGGATGGACTGCAGCCCAGCACTGCCTTCCTGGGGTGTGCAGCCTTCAGCAACCCACCGAGGTGTCCTTCTACCCCTGCTGCCCCGAGTGTAAGGAGAGGAAAAGGAGGGTTAGCTATCATCACGGATGCCCTGGGCTTGGGAAGCAGATATTCAGTGTCCAACCTCCTCCAGAGGCATCCCTGGGTGATCAGGGACAAGCCACATCCATCCTGCGTATCAAAGTGAGCCAGTGGCTACCTCCACACGATCTCTGCTCTCCAGGGAGCAAGCCACCAAAAATCCTGTAGGATCTGACCCATGTCTGCTGAGGATGATCAGCAAAAAGGCACAGGTCAGGCCACTCGAATCAGACTGAAAATCCCCCAGTCTCCCCATGAAAGCTAAGGTAAAGCAGGGACCTCCCCCACCATCCAAAATACTGTCTGCCCCTTCCTCCTCCGGTGCGAGGAGTGGGAGCGCTCACCCACAGCCTGCTCCGGCCCACGCTGAGCTGAGCTTCATATAACACAGTAATAATAATGATCATGCCTTGTTCCTCTTCATTTTCATGGCACTTTCCAAACGTTAACTCCGGAATTTCCCCCTTTTGCCATGATTTCAGTAAGAGTTATCATCCCAAGAGCTGGGCAAATCACCCATGACCATTCACCTCTGGGAGAGATTTTTGGGCTGCACAACGCCTGCAAACACCCCACAGGATTTGAGGTACGATCTTTATGGCAGACACAGAAGGGGATCCAGAAGATGGCTGATGTCCCCAAATCTCCAAAAACCTAATGTGACTGTCCCTCCTGTGACCAGGACACCGGCACTAGGGTGGCACCTGCCCCATCGTGCCGTGCTCCCCCGGATGCTGGCGCAGGGAGAGGGAGAAGGCGAGATGGGAGAGGGGGAGTGCTGGTACAGAAGGGATGTGAGGGCACCGGAGCACAGCACCTGCTGAGATGGTGCTGGGCTGAAATTGAGAAAAAAAGAAATGCTGTTGAAGAGACGAGGTAGCAAACGAATGGCAACCACTTAATGGCCCATAAAATGACCTTAGTGCTGCTTCCCCAGGAGATGTTAATATAACCCTAGTGATTTCTGCATTTCCTTTGTAATTTATTGTGCCCGAGTCATTAGGATGTGGAGCTAATCAGCGAATGTATCTCTACTAAAAATGGGATTGCTAAGTCAGCTCAGCAGGTCTCCCCACCTCTCCTCCCTCCCCTCTCCGAGCAAAGGCTGGAGGAGAGCTGAGGTCGGAGCCCGAGCTGCTCCCCACGGCGCTGGCACCCCCAGGGGCACCCCCAGGGACCGCAGGGACGAGCCAGCCCTGCCTCGTCCCCTCTTTTTTGCCCCTGCCAAAGCCTCCATCACCCTGCCCCGCGCTCACCCTCCGCAGCCCACGCATAGCTCCAGCCCTCCCAGATTTAGGGAGACACCTTAAGCCCCGCAAAGTGGTTTGCTGAGAACCGAGCGCTGCAGGGCCCTGGTCTTCGATAACGCAGGCAATTCATAGAGAAAATCAGTGGGAGTTTGTTATGTTTACAAGCTCCTTATTAAAATTGCAGCATGGTGGGTTTTTTCCTTTAATAAAGTCTTCAGAAGGCTTTTTTTTTTTCTTTTTTTTCTATGAACATACATTTCAGAAAGGGGATCTTTAGATCAACATAACTCTTTCAGGCTTTCCTAATGGGCAAGTATTTTAACTGTGCTCTTAAAATTTAGTAAGATCTCTGCGATGCCAGTGTGCACTGTCCATGCACAGGTCCTTCACCCTGGACACCCCCAGTCTGACAGCACAACGGCTTCCACGGCGCAGCAAGCTTTGAGCTTGACCACCTAAAGAAAAAGATGGTCCCTCGCCTTCAGAGCATCCCTCCCCGCGGTGTCACACTGCATCCCCATTCTCAGCTCAGCCCTTTCACCTGTTCGAGGCGTCCTTGACGCCACCAGTGACTGCAGGAGAGGGCATGAACTAGTGAGGAAACTATTTTTTCCATCATTGTAAGGTCGGTGAGGTGCCCAGTGGACACCCTGCCCCGTCCCTGGTCCCCGGCATGGAGAAGGGGGTGCCCACACCAGCACACCCAGCTCACAGTGATGTGCAGTAAGAGCCAGTGCAAAGCTGATGATGCCAATTCCTATGTATGGGTGGCCACAGGCTCCTCACTGAACACGGGAGCTCTAAGGTTTGTTTTTTTCACCGGGATGAGCTTTGCGCCGGTCTCCGGGAAGGGTCCCCATTACACCGAGCCTCTCCTGGAGTGCAGACACGTTCCCGGACACGTCCCCTTTGAAACAAACATCTGCCCAGCTCTCCCGCTGCATCCCTGCTGCTTCTGGCAAGAGTCACCCCGCTGGGGAGGCAGAACTGCAAGCCATCACAGTTAGCCCATTAAACAAGGTTAATTAATGCTATACGACAAGAGAGCGCATATGGGAATGTGCGCAGGGACTCGCGGGCATGCCTGAATGTGTTCATTAAGGGCAGCGCTGCAGGCGCAGTGACAACGTGATTCATAACCGAACGCCACAGAAAAACAAAGTCCTTCTGGTTTCTGTTATTATGTTAATAAGTCAGAGGCTGCGGAGAGAAATTAAATGACTGATTAGGTCCGTAAATTCTACAGGTACCTTCCATGACCCTTGGAGCGAACCCAAGCTTTAATGCAGTCTGTCACTTCGGAGAAGGATTTAATCACCAGAGACGGAAGGCCGAGTCACAAGTTTCCCACAAGTGTGTGATCTACATGGAGGGAACAGGAGATGGAGACTCGGGAGGAGTCCTTGGTGTGGGAGCAGGGGGTCAGGAGGACCTCAAGCCTTGTCTCCTGCGTGTGCTGTACAAGATGCTGTTAATATTTCTGACACACGCTGGAGGGACTTCCCCTTCCTGCAAAAAGGTGGAACGTTGCACTTTGCATCTCCATGTGGAAACAAAATCTTTGGGGCTTCTTGGGGCCGGGAACCACATTCTGGGGACCGCTGTTCCCCCACAGAGCAGGGGACGGTGGATGGAGACCCAGCGTCCTCCAGCGTGCAGTGGGGCAGCCAGCTCACATGCGCTGGACCGGAGCAAAGTCCCACCCCGAGCTAGCACAGGCAGAGGAATTAATGACAGGCAGGGGAATTAATGAGTGTGAAATGAAGAAAAATCCCATTTAGCGCCATCTTAAAATCAAGTGAATTTGTTCTTTGCCGAAAGCTGGCCTCATTTTCAATGCTCTTGTTTCAAGGCAGTAAGAAGAGACCTCTGTAATTCGCATTAATGGGAGCTAAGCATTTAAATCTCTGTCCCCAGAGCACTTAGGAGAGAATCTGTCCCCTCTTTGTGTTCGCTAATAGCTCTGTAACCCTCCTTCCCAGGCAGGGCTGACAAAGGGATTTCTGTCACTCTGATTCTGCCTTGTCCCCGAGCACGGGTGACCGCAGCGGGTGCAGAAGGCCGGCGGCTCACTAGGGCTGAGCAGGCTCTAAGAAATGGAGAGAAACACCGTTTAAACTCCGCATCGCCTCTCAGACGGAGCTGGTCTGGTTCACCTCCCGTATAACCCAGCTGCCAGCGATGGAGCTCCTCCAGGTTTACCTTGAGGCGAGGAGGCAGCTGGGCTTGTTATTTTAGGAGGCGCCGGGTCCCGCTCGGCATTGGATGCTGGATTGGTGGAGCCGGCTCTGCGTGACAGCTCCATCTGGCATACTGAGAAAAGTCTGAAGTTAGCGAGCGTTGGCCACCATCAAGAGCAAGAACAGTTGCTCTTGTTTCAAACCCCAACTCGCTTGCGGGCTCTGACACCAAAGAAAGCGTCTGGAGCACTCAGGAGAGACAGCCAGTCTCCTTCTCTGCTCAATGGAGAGGAGGGCAAGCCAAAAGGCAATTGCTAGCCCTTGGCCAGATGGAAGCCCCCTCTCCGTGCCCCTGCCCACCCAGGAGCTCCACAGCTCTGCACTGCCCACCCCCAGCCCACAAGGGCTGCACCCACGTGCAGCAGAGCAAGCTTGCGTGTGATGGTGAAAGGTCCCAAATTCAAATGAGAGCAATAAAGGACATTTCTGGTCATGGTCAGGCCAAATGTACTCCCCAGTGCAGCATCTTCTGTACAAGGGTGCTCTTCCAGCCTCCAACAGTTCACAGCTCAGGAACTTCATGAGGTGGACATGGCTTTCACGCAGCCTGTGTAACCCCGCTTGGATTTCTCTTCCACAGAACTGTCCTGTCTCCTTGTGGATCAACATAAACTTTTATCACCCACAAGGTCCCGTAGCAAGGAGTTGCCAGCTTAAGGTTAGGTTTACGGTTGGACTCCATGATCTTAAAAGGTCTTTTCCAACCTAAATGATTCAACGATTCTAAGCGCGTGCACTGTGAAAGCCACCTCCTCTGGGCTGCTGCAGACCATCCCTGCTTCAGAGGCCATTTGCACCTGAGACTTCAGGTGACTGCACCTCCTTAGCAGCCACAGATGGGCTAGGTGCTCCCTGTCACCCCAGGACAGAAACCTCACCCCAGAAGAGCTCTCAGCATTACAATGAGAGCCCAGTACCTGCTCTGACACCCCAAGTGTTGCAACCAACTCCTGTTTCTTCCAACCAAGTCAGTCTTGTAGCCAGTTCCCTATGCTGGAGCATCCATATGGAAGCAAAAGAGAAGAGGAATAAGCCATGGCAAGAAAAGATGCTGTTCCCAGCTGTTCTGCTTGTACCCTCGAAAGGATGAGGAGCTGTCACAGATGCTGGAGTTGAAGTCATGTGCTTCTTTCTTTTAATTAAAGCACAGGACCTACAGCCTTTGAATCTTAAGGCAAGCTTACTGTATGTGACGCCTGACTAATTAAAATGGGATGTTTAATTAAAACTTGCATTCAATCAGGAAGTTGATGAAGCTAAACTGCTGCTAATTGGCTTGAGGCTCCAGTCACGAGAGCCTGACTTTTGGATTCACCACTGCCTAAGAAGAGAAACCGGGAGCTTTTCCTGGAGCTGCAGCCTGGGCTGAACCTGCCCCTCGAGACAGGAGCCTCCACCGCGTGGCGAGGGGAGACCAGAGCGGGCAGCACCACGTCCTGAGGTCCCGCAGGGGATGGTCCTCATGGGGGACCGGCGATGGCAGGGAGCTGGCTGCGCCCTGTGCTGCGAAGGAACCTGCCGATCTGCCCCGGGGGAGGCTCCTTCCCGAGCCTGCTCCCAGCAATGATAAACTCCAAAATGAAATCACACCCTCACCGCTCTCCTCATCGCTCCTTCGCCCACCTGACCATCACTCAGTCGCTCCTGCTGGGCGTGCTCTGGGGCTGACTTACCATCGTTGCTACGTGCTGACTGCCAAAAGCCCTGGCTGCTCTCCTACAACACCCCCATCCCCGCTGGCCGTGCTGCCTCTGCTCCCATGGAAGAGTCCAGACCCCTTCCCCGCTTCACAGAATCCCAGACTGGCAGGGGTTGGAAGGGACCTCTGGAGCTCACCCAGTCCAACCCCCTGCCAGAGCAGGGGCACCCAGAGCAGGTTGCACAGGAACGCATCCAGGTGGGGTTTGAATCTCTCCAGAGCAGGAGACCCCACAGCCTCTCTGGGCAGCCTGTGCCAGTGCTCTGCCACCCTCAAAGTAAAGAAGTTTTTCCTCATGTTCAGACGGAACTTCCCGTGTTCCAGTTTGTGCCCGTTGCCCCTTGTCCTGTCACTGGGCACCACTAAAAGGAGTCTGGCCCCATCCTCTTGCCACCCGCCCTTTAGAGATTGATCAGCATTGATGAGTTTCCCTTGCACACCCCCCCAAACTGTATCAGTAATCCCTGTGTACTTACTCTGACGAGGACAAGTGAACAAGCCTGAAACCTGCTCAGAAACGGCTCTATTTGATCACTGCTCACAGACAGCAGCATCTAGAGCTCCGGGAGCCCACCAGCACGATGCGATGTGACACCACGCAGGGCTAGGCACTTACTACCCGTGCGCATGTAAGGACACCTCTTCCCAAAAATACCTTACACTTCTGCAACTACGGCTATCAAACCCGAACCTCCTCAAAGGTCCTCTTTCTCTTCCTCTCCCTTCCGCTCTGCTAAGCCCGGTTCCCTGAAATGGCACTGGAAACGCAGATGTGGGGCAGACAGTGGGTTATACCCCGAGACAACCTCTGTGTGCCCAAATGGTTGGTGGAGAGCAGAGCTTACATCGCGGCCCACTTGCTCTCTACC